GGTAGATAAAACAGCTGAGAATCGATGCTTCTCCACAACTTATTGTTGTGAGTGATGTGAGCATGAGGCTGAATGACAACAAACATCAAGCTTTTGCTTCAATTATGATAATTTCTTATATAATTAGAAGAAGTACTAGATATACATAAAAACGTCAAAAACAAATGAAATTTTGAATAAAAATGAAAAGCTTAATTATGTGGAATTGTGCCCATCAATCACTGGCTGTTCAACTATGGAGAAAGGAAGTTTAAAAATAAGTTTTTTCATCTTCTTCGTCGTCGCTCCGTTTCCAGATAGACGAAGGAGGGGGGGGGGGTCGGTGCGATGGGTAGAAGAGGAGGAAGAGGAGGGAAGTGGAAACAGAACAAAAAAAAATTAAAATGGTCTCTTCCTATAAAAAAGTGTTTGAGAGGGGAATAGAGAAATTAAAGCAATTAGTGGGATGTTTTTGAATTTACGTGAAGATGCCCCAAATTGCAAACAGCAAGGAAGAAGCAAGGATGAAGCAGAAGCAGAAGAAGCAGAGCAAGAAGCTTGGCGAAAAGCTGTGAAAGGCGAAGGAAAGCAGCAGAGGATTGAAAGGAAAAGCTTAAAATGGAAGAAAAAACAAAGTTTTTAATAATTAATTGGATGCAAACATCGAAACAAAATTGTTTTTCAATTAGATTTTGAGAATGAAAAAACGCAATCAACTCGCGTGTGTCCTCCCACCAAACAGATCAACTTGTTGTAATTTATGACAGATTTCATTGAATGTGTTTGTCTCATCACATACAACAACGAGATTTCTCTTTCAATTTACATTTTGAACTTTCAAATTGTATTTTGTGGTTGTTGCTCCCTCTCTTACTCTCACTCTCTCTCTCTTTCCCTCTCTCTCTCTTTCTCAGACATTGCTAGGAGATTAGATGAATTCAGGATAGAGGTCTTGTTAATTTGCATATAAACAAACAGTTTTTGTTTTAAAAAAAAGACTTTCGGAAGTCAAATAGAAACATTGCAGAGATCACTTTCTCTCTCTCAATGTACAGAGGTAAGCAGAGAGAAGAGACGAACACAATGAATGAACTACATAGAGGAGAAGAGAGAAAGAGAGAGAGAGAGGGAGTAGAATCTTTTAATGACGTTGGATGAAGACTTAATCCTCAAGAGTTGCATCAGTAGCAGCTTGTTCTCTCTTTCTCCGTCTGTTTTGAATTGTTTTTCTCTTCTACTCTGCCCCGTCTCTCATCTTTCGTATTTTCCGAAGAAAAAATAACAGAATGCCCAGAGGCTATTCATTTCGCCTTGAAATGTTTCATCCATTTTACCTTCAAATGTCCGATGTTTGCGTATGATTCGTTCTTTTGCATAAGAAGGCTTCGACTTAAAGCTCAACGCAACGATTACGGCTTTTGGCTTTTTATGTCTGGACTCTCATCATTCGCAATTATCTTTTCATTATCTTAAAGGTCTTTCAATCCTTTTTCGTTGATTGTCAGAAGAGAAGAGCAACTTCACTCACGCAATTCTTTCCATTTCTGGTCATTCATCACTCAAATTCCTTCTGAACTTTCACATAAACCTTAACTATACAAAACTCTCTTCCTAACAACCTTTGAGTATGCAACTCTCTCTCTCTCATTGTAATCTCTTTGAGCGAGATTCAGTTTTATGAAACATTTTCAAGTTCAAACTCATTCTACAGAGTATGAGCATTCAAAGTTACAACCTCTTCTCGAACAACTGATCTCACTCGAACTATACAAAACATCTCATCTGAATATGCTGCTGACCAATCTGTCATTCTTTTCATCCCCTCAGGCGAGATTTTTGGCACAAAACATTAAAATCAACAACAGCTTGGAATAACTTTAAAACAACAACAAGTTAACTTTTCGCTTTTTGACAACTTTCATCATGTGCTCATTTCCATCAGTCCAAGTCGAATTCTCAAAAATTATAAAAGTTTAACGAAAGATGTCAGTTTTGAAGACTGTTTGAAGAGAGAGAGAGATGAACAAAAAATACTTTGCATAAAATGATGGCGAATGTCCAGTCCTATGTCTATGTGGAATCAGAAAAATTCACAAACGAGCTGCTCTCTATTCTCTCTAGAGAATGATTTTCGACAGCTGTGGAATAGTCTGGAGGAACACTGCCTTTAGCTTTTATAAGTCATGAACGTCAAGCTCATGACTATGATGAGACTCAATTTGGTACTCACACTCTTCTCCTTCATCCCTTCTTCTCACTCGCACTCTCTTCTTCTTCATCTCCTCTTTCCTCGCTTCCTTCTATTCTATCCTTTTTTGCATTTTAAGTGAAAAGAACTGAACAATTTCAACTTCAGGCTTAAACGCAGACAACGGCCAGATTGCATTTCTTTCGTCTGTGCTTGTTCGCCGAAATTGAGCAAAATTAAATTTTAAAAAACACAGATTGACATCATTTGAATAAGAAACATTTTAATTAAATATAAAATCGTATAAAGATGGCTGCCTTAGCCAGCTTGAGGATAGACGTTCGGGAAAAAAATAAGTTTTCGACTGAAATCTCAAAGAGCACGTCAGACTGCTTGATGCGAAACACAAAAATTAGAAACGATTGAAGACTAATTATCGTTTCGAAAGATTTAATTGGTGAACAACCGCTTCTGCTGCGAAAAACGTTAAAAATAAAGTCAGGCAGCAGCGCACGTCATTAGCATATCGTCTTCACGTTAGTCTTTAAGTCAAAGCGAGGGACTGAATTGAAGAAAGAAAAAGAGAGCCAAAAACGAATTCGAAACATTAATTTGGATTGGAAACATCTTGCTTTGTGAACAATGTTCAAGTGAGAGCAATGAGTGGAAGTAGAGAAACAACGGCTTTGCCATTTCCGATAGGATGTGGTGGTGAGATGGTAAGACCTCCGTCCAACAAAAAGCGAATTCGGGGAGGGCCAAAAGGCGATGCAAGAAGCGATTGAACTGCGTAAGTTTCCAATTTCAATTGAAAAAAATGAGGAAATTCATGAGAATTAATGGGATTGTCCTTTGAAAGAATATTTGGGATATGGTGTGATGAATGATGTGCTTGTGCAATCTTCAAGTAGTGAATGAGTCTCGTAAATGTATTGAGGGAAAAGCTGAACGGATAATCACAAAAAAATGAGCTTTTTCCATGTTCTTCCGTATTCGAAAAATATTAAACGAAAGGAAAAAGTTTTTTCTAGCTCTCTATATATATATAGAGAGAGAGAGATAGATTTGAAAGTTTAAATGATGATGATGAGCACCGTTGATAACAAGAGCTTGTCATGTAGAGAATAGTGATTGAGGTTTACAAGACAATCTGACAGACAACTTGATCGGCTAAGATCTCTCTCACTCTTTTTTGTCGTTTTCCTCTTTCACTCTCTTGTTCTCTTTCTCTTTATGCTCAAGATATGATCAGTCTGATCTATCCTGCTCCTCATTTGCATTTCTCTCCTAATCTGACAAAAATTATCTTTCGAATGAAGTTTGGCAAGATTAATCAGATAAGTCAAACAAACACGTTAAATAATGATTATGACCAACAACCTACTGCCACAATAGTGGGGCTCATGAGGTCTCGAATTTGAAGAAGAAATTCTTAGTCGACATAGTGGCCAACAACGAGCACTACGAAAGAGCCATCGCAGCTAAGATGAGTGAAGCTGAACAAGCTAGACGATGGGAGGGGCTTAGTATGCCGATGGGGAGGCCAGCGGCACGAACGACGATACCAGAAGTAACATTTGTCGTCGAGAAATATAAAGATTGTAATTCAAAGACACGGAACTTCTAGCGCCAGACTATCCAAATCTGTTCATGACAGCGATAAAAGGCCTTCCACCAATCCCCCCCCCTTCGAGAGTTCAGAAGCCATGATATGTGAGTCTGCAACTGTCAGCAGGCGTTAAGTGCCCCGGAAAGCTCGGCATTCATCTAGTTCCTGGTTGTTTCTCTTTTATCCCAATCACATCTTTTTTAGACAAAAAAAGTTGTGACGCTTGTAAGACCTCCTTTTCAAACATCCGACAATTAAGTGGGAGGTCGGCTGAGATCTGCACAAGCTGCAGTTCTCGATTTCGTAGTGAAAAAAACTTTTAAGAAGCTTGCATGCAAATAATAAAAAGGAGGTATTCTGAAAAGAAAAAAGTTCTTCTTTCAATTCAATTACTTTCTCTAAATCTGGACAACGCTAAGTACAAGTATCATCTTGCCTGGCATGCCGTCGTCTAGGATTTCATCAGTTGCATCGGCATATTCTAAATTTTCTGATTTTTACACTCGATACTCTAAAGTTCTAAAAGACAACACTCGTATTCTGGAAGGAAGCAAAGGTGAAAGGTACGTCATGACTTCTCTGTACACCTTGTGTATCTCAATGACCACAGCTGCAAGAGAAGACTTTCCCATATGATAGAGATGCATTGAGTAGCAACCTATAACGTGAAGAGCGTAACAGAAAGGATGAGTAGAAATTCAATCCGAAATTGCCAATTGAAAACAGACCTATTGAAGAAACAGATTAAACAATGTTCTCTGGAACAAGTTTGTCATCAAACTAAACTTCTTTATATTCAGACAGTGAACTTAGATCATTTATAAACATATTATACACCATCAACAACTTTAAATAAATAACTTAAAGAAGAAACTCTCAGAGCACCCAGGGGATATAATCACAGTAAATCTATAAAAATCAGGCAATAAATAAAAATTAAATTAAAAGCAGGTTAAAGGTGTGGAATACTTGACAGAGCAAAGTCAGAAGTTGAAGTATGATAGCGGAACACATGAAAAGGGTTTAGTACGTAGTCTGCTGCATTACAAGATAGGAAGTACAAAAGAGTTATCTAGAAAGTGTGCGTCCATTCATAACTTTCAAAAACATACAAACTGGATAAACATGTAGACCCATCATGACATGCCTCTCAAGTTAAAACGACACATTTCATTAGGACATGTAGTTTCTCCAACTAACTCAGATTTGGTTAACTAGGGATACTCAAGGAACAGCTCGGCCGAGTCGAGTCAACTGAAAGCAGAAGAATCTCTTATTCGAAGAAAAACTTATAAAGATGCAATATTCACTACGTTATTAATTAGGGGCCTTGCTGTATACATTAAAGTTCTTCATCGACTTCCCAATAAGACTCAAGTAAAATCTTAACGCGGCAGCTTTTCATTTTTGCTGATTCTTTTCAGAACAAAGATTTCTCACCCAATTATCGCCAAATAAACTATGAATGAGAGCTTTGCAAGCACCTTTTGAAGCATATCTCTTCATTTCGATGGAGAACGTGATTAATTTCTTTTCATCAGTAGCTAGAGTAATAAGCAATAAGCAAATAGTCTTAAGCTTCTGAAAATTCCATATTTCGCCATAGGCGGCCAAAAAGAAAAAGCATATTCTTTTTCTCTTCTTCTCTGCGCATTCACTACCAAATTTGTTCATGTAGATGCCTAAGTGCTTTTGAAGTTGTTGATGACATCATCCAACAGAACTAAACATCTAAAACAATTGGTCCAACAGAGAGATATAGTCGTCAAAAATCATTCTCACATTCGATACGGGCAAACTAATGGGATGATAAGCTGAGAGAAAATGTTTTTGAACTATTTCATGCATCACTTGGTTACTAACTTCAAAACTAATCAAGTTGCTTGAAGAAGTATGCATTTTAGGCAGCTGTCGCTCACATTATTTCACACATTTCTTTTCAGTTATATTCCAGAAGATGGTGGAATATACTAACTCGTATCATATTACTTTACGTCTTATGATTTCCAACCCCCTATTTTCAAAATATAATAAAAGAGATAGTCGCACCTGATCAGTGAACTGATTCGGATTCACGAGCTCAGTGCATCCGTAAGTTACTCTTTGCAAGTTTTTAGACTTTCCATAATCTATCAAGTTTTGGTATTCGACGTAGTTTCCGCCTCCAATGACGAAAAGAATGACATCTTGTGGAGGTGGCTGTCGGGCACGTAAGGAAGCAGCGCTAAAATGGTAAACAGTTCAAAGCCGTTTACTGAATAAAATATTACTCTCTTGACATTCCTTGCATCATCTTAGGGTCAAAGTAACAGAGGTCGTCCGCTTCACTTGCTTGATTTGAACCCATCATCTGGTTGATGCCAACTGTAGAGGAAGATGGTACAGTCACCAAAGAATCTATCATCTGCAATAAATATATACATTCTGTTTTCATTCATTTATCAAGAACATATTCTTCTGTCATCGCTAAGTTTCAGTCGTTTTCCATATCTATCTCTCACTTCCTCAATCGAATTTTAGAATGAGCATTGTGACAATCTAATTTTCTCAACATTCCACTTTTTCATGCAAAATATAAACACAAGAACTCCGCGAGTAAAATAGAAATTTTCCGAACTGCATTCTAGGCCATTTATGACTATTCTACTAAGATTTCTCAAGCCTTCATCAACTACCACAGGCTAACAATCTGACGTCAACTTAAAAATGAAGGCCCATTTGTCAAGATTTGTGAGAATACTGCGCGCAAAAGGCTTTCCTAATACCAGAAGCTCAAATAGATGCAATATCGCTGAACGTATCTGGGTCCTCATTAAAAAGTCCAAACTCCCACCACTTCTCGGGGTTTTACTTAGAGTTTTTTCTTCATTTTTTGTAAAAAAAAAAACTCACCCTCGTCAAAGGTAGATTGTGTTTTCGGGGTACTAGATTCTTAACTCCTTCCATTACAAATCGTGAACTTGTACTAAGCAGTTTGTTAAACATGCTTATTGTTTTTGTCCCAGCTCCTTGATGCTCTTCGGAGTTAATTCCACGTCCAAGTTGGGAAACAGACCTCAACATGGGAACGTCTTTCATAAAGCTTCTTACAAATACCTCATCTTCTGCACAAACTGCAAGGCAGAGTCATCCACACCACGTTCTTTGAGAATGTTTTGAAGAGCTGCGAAGTCATTCTTAATGAGCCTTAGGGTAACTGAGCTAAGTTAGTAGATGCATACCTTGTTTGTATTTTCAGCACAAAGATAGTAGATAAGACTTAATCTTAAGATATCTTCAGGGGTTGTGAACTCAGACAACAAGTCGATAATCGGCTTCTCTGAAAGTATACATAGAAACGGATACTATAACGATGAAAATACCTAACGGGGAGTGTTGAAGTAATTTCTGCTCCAATTCGAACAAAACATCCAACTTTCTCTTCTTAATGATATCTAGCAAAGTTGTCGCAACATTAGTGTGCAAGTCTATTAATCGTTTCTGCTCGAGAAGCTGAAAAAACCAAACACTACTTATAAATACTCGGTGTTCAAAACAAACCTGGGGTAAAGAAGTCACAGTTGAACCTAATTTGGCAGTGGTGTCTGATATGAGGGATGTCATAGCAGCATCAATATCGGCTCCATCAACACCCTGGGAAAATAAGTATGTAATTTGAAGAAAAAGAGGAGTTGAAAACCATAGCATGTTTAAGTCGTTTGATTTCTTCTTCACTGGACCTATAGGCTTCCAAGTCTTCCTGAACAGCTTCCGCCACAAGAGGGAAAGCACTACCCTAAAAAAAATCAAATAACGCGAAGAAATTGAATTACTGTGATATATTCTTTCGTGTACACGTGCCAGGGGACCATTTAACTCAAAAATGATCCCGTGGGAGCATCCACGGACCCGTGAAATTTACGTGGCGCGTGGCATACTTCCACGTGCGTAAACGAACACAAGTAGATGCGAATAAAACGTGGAATGAACGGATTTAAAAGTGCAAATTGATTACCTTATGATTTGTCCACAGTTTGTCGGAAGTTCCACTGTTCATAAAGTACTCTCTTTTCTTATTGGAAGGATCAGTCATTACTACCTTGTTTTGCTCAAAATCCTTAAACACAAGATAAACTCAAATACTCAGAACTGCAAACTAACCAGGACATCATGGATTAATGCTTGATATGTCCAAGTATGATGAAGCATTGTTGCTAAATCAGCTGTTCTGAACGAAACAGCATATCATCAATGCTAAAAGAAGTGTTCAAACCTATCAGCAATCAGGAGAACAGGTCTACTACCGTGCAATTGCCCAGCACGCACGCTTTCAACTGCGAACAAATTATTTCTGGCATCTCGGAGATTGTCTCGTAATTTCTGTTCTAACCTCTGGAACAATTATTTTCTTGCAAAAATTCTGAATAGGAACCCTACCTTGGCAACTTGTTCCGCAGCATTAGCTTTAGGACAACGAATGATTGGAACGACACCCATAGTAGCGCACACAGCGAACAAACTATCGGCAACAGTTTCAATTAAAGCAGCCATTTGATTATCAGAAGTAGAAGGATCATTCAAAGCTAAGTAGGACAATTAAAGAAACGGATCGACTGTAGCACTTACTGTAGTAGGATAATCCACTGTTCTCATTGTACCTTCGGAGAACAAACAAATCATCTTCCAATGATATAAAGCTCAAGTACTGATCAACAACCTTAAGTAAGTAGCTCAGTTAAGATAATCATGTTGGGTTGAATACTTTTTGAACTTGTTGGATTGCCCCACCATGAACTGCAGCTTCGGCCAAAACTTCCAATTTCGTACGAGGCAGTGGTGAAATGAAATTTAGGTAAAAGCTATCGTACATGCATTTCTTCAAATCTTCAGAAATGAGCCCAATATTTTCCTCGTTAGGTGCAACAAGATAGACCGCAGGAACATCAGTTAGCTGATCTCTTTTAGTGTTGATGAGCAAATGCAATGTAACTCCGAGCTCACGAAGTTGTTGAACAGAAATTAAAGGAGAAATAATATCTTGTCCGAACTTGTCTATGACCAATATCTTCCAAACTGGCTCACTAATCATTGTATTCCCCACAGGGGTATTAAGATTGATCACATTTCTGAGAGCAACTAAAGGTTTAAAGGCATTATCAACAGTATCAACAATGAAATTGTTTACCTGTTTGACGAGTTCGGATTGTTTCCAACTGTAAAGGTTCTTGTTGGAAACTCATCAGGAGTTCCTAGTTAGCTACTTCTTAACTTTATTATATTTAATTAACCAGAATTCTATGCGATTTTCAGCATAGGTGACACGTCGAATTAGATTTGTGCCTTAGAGGACATTGGCGCATCCTTCGTGCTTCCTTCTCTCGTGGAGCAATGAGAACGATGGCCAATTTCAGTTAACTTCACAGTTATTGAAGTGTATTTCAAGCAAAATGGAATTTCCCACGAGAACTTGTTCCTCATCTCCTCAAGCTTCTTATTCACAAATATTCCAAAGTTGCTGCTAGCATTAAACGTTCCATCCCTCTTCTCTGATCTCTTGCAATATAAACGAATCCGCCAGAAAGCCATGAAGTAAAAAGTTCGAACAAATCAGATGGAAATGAAAAAGGAGGAGTTTCTACATAAATTCCTTCGAAATTCCTTCTTGTCAGACTCACATATTACTGAGAAAATATTTTCGTCTTTCAACAGAATAAAGACATCCGCGACTTACGAGAATATTCGAGAAAGTTTTGAATGGAAATCTTGTGACTAACAAAGCTACTTATTAGTCACATGCGTTCTTCTTCTAGCCCCTTATATTACATAATCTGCCATAACCTGTTGATCCGTTTTATGAAGACACAAGAAAACTTTGCTCATTGAAGATGATACCAGCTATACAACTCCCCATATCCTATATTTCTCGCCTACAACCAAAGTAGACAGAGAGAGAGAGAGGCTTTCTATCATACTCTGTCATGCGTGAATGGAAGTGGATATATAAAGACTAACAATTCATAAGAAAAAAACATTTCTTTCCGGCCAATATGTAGTCTGCCGTAGTATTCTTACACTATCATGTGATGGGAATAAATAAGGGGATGAGAACACGATGGTTTCTTTTTCATTTGGCAACTGTCCAGCAGTGCCGACTCTGCACTTTTGGTACTCTAGGGAATTGTCGACTGGTGGGTCTCATGAAGAGCTTTCCGTGATCTGATACGATAATACATAGGGAATAGATGATCATAGAATTCTTTTCGAATTGCAGTTTATTTTTATCGGAGCCCTCGAACTTTTCAAAAAAAAATTGATACTTGAAAGATAATTGGCGGGTTCAGAGTGACTATGTGTGTGCTTATACGAATGATCACTATAAAGTTGAGAAAATATAAAGTTGACCGATGAGCAAATGAATATTTTGCACAAACTGACTGAGCATGAGTCATTTAGCAGAGGATGAGTGGGTAGCATTGATAGAAGTATGGGAGTCACATCACAGAGAACGTCCTCCCCCAGGTCCTGAACTTACTAATTGTCTGTTCCAAAGACATCTAATGTACTTATCATATTGTTTTCATTTCGACATTCGTATTCTTCCCTCAACCTCACTGTAGATTGCAGAAGACAATAAAAACATTTTTACAACTGAACCTGTATTCATAAATATGATGGGAAAATACGTAAAATCGATTAATCAGTGAAATATGCAAATTGCGTACTCACATCGAGATGTTTTCAAAGCTCTGGATTACACTTGACAGAATCGTAGAAGGTTCAGAGTTGGAATGATTAATGAGATAACAGTATCAAAATCATGCTATGATGACTTTTCAATCATGTCATCATGTCGTACATTCGAAATTATAGCTGACAACACACCCCTGTAAGTTTTTTGAATTCTCTCGATCTTCAGATTATCTTTTCAGTTACGTAAATGCTGGCTGGCTGGCTGAACTTTCACCTTTTTTTGCTGATTACTGCTTCGGAGAGACAGCACAGCAACAGCTACGAATAAACGACTACACTTATTCGGAAGTTTTGGAATGCATGAGATGCATTTTCTTCTGCCCCATGAGGAAACCTCTCACAGGTTTTTTTCTATCCCTTCAGCTTTGATTTACGAAATCTTTAGTCCACAATGTGCCACTCGTTCTGCGATTTGCAACTCAGTATGACATGGATCCTGTTATTGCACGATGTGATAGATTCATCACTCAAAACGTTGCAACATTAGACCGTAAGAGGCTCTTCCAGGTGTGATCAAAAAACAACCCTGTTTTGCTCAAGCTTTATTCAGGTGACTCGTACTCTGTCCAGATGTGATCACAACGTAACAAGCATGAGTGTTTTAGTGAACCGATTAGCTTCGATAAAGGTTCTCACTCATTCTACATTCATCGACACATGGCATAGTTTCAGGAAGATAGTCTAGTAGAGATGAATTTCAATGAAATGCCGGGACAGGTCGTTGCCGAAGTTTATAAGGAAAAAATCCGCCGTAGAGAGCATGCCACGAATAAATGGTTATGCCCCTTGTGAGTAAGATTACATTTTTCTTGAAAATATTTTTGTTCTACAGAACATGGTGCATGTCTTTGTTCCAAAGAAGGCCATTTCGTTTTCGAGCTTCTCATTAGTCGGCGGAGGACGAGTTGTGTTCGCAATAATAATGTAATATGTTAAATTCGAATAAATTCAAAGTTTCTCTAGAAAACCTTCGGCTTCAAACATCTGTGAACAAGACACGAGCTTCCGAGAGACTTCCTTATTCTCCTGGAAGTAAGATTTTTGTGAAACAAGAGTTCATAGCTCATTTGACATGCAAAAAATGGTTTGCGCTCTGCCACTTGTTGTCGTCTTTGATCTAAGAGATCGGAAGAGTGGAGGGTGGGGGCTCATCGAAAATTCTTGATTTGAATCGTGAAGCCAAAGGAAATAATTCAAACCCGGGAGTGGGAGGATTGTTGTTTTTGAAAAGGTAAGGTTACAAAAGAATTGCTATGCGTGGGGATGATGTGTGGTCCACACCGAGACCTGAGCACCTAATTTGTATGACAAATGGGTTCCTCTCTTTGATGTGTTTCAACTTCGTTCTCTAAAACAAAATGCTTTCCCCTCTATTTGTTTTTTCATTCTACAATTGATGAGAAGAATTAAGATTTTATTATTCAAAGTGGTACCCGTTTATAATATTTGATTTCAGAGATCCAGAGTTCCTGATTGAAAACCCGTTTCAGTCCGAAATTGGTCGAAACATTTTTCAAAATGTCTGAATCCTATTTTGAGCTGGACGCTTAACCCAAGTGATGTGCTTCCTATGGTAGAAGTAATTTGAGCGATTGCATTGCTTGAGTATTCTTCTGAGCAGCCGTTTTCTTCTCACTGAGGAATATAGACTGAATTAGGAAGATTAGGTTGATGTTCTTGTGGAGATCACAAACCTTCACTGTTTGTCGATACGTAGAAGACATGCAGCAATAAAGAACAAAAGAAGTCAAGCAATTGACTAAAGACATGAGATCAAGCACTTCCCCAACATTCACGTACACCATAGTCCCTACATGTGTTGGATAAATGGCTGAAAGGATGGCCAAGGCACCTAAAGACCATATTACATATATTATAAAGGATGTGCAATGGAGTATCTTACCCTGGGGTAATTCCGTACAAAGGAACACAACCAACATTATTATGAGCATAAGCGTAGTCTTGTCGATGGAGAGCTTATTATATTTTCTAAAAGGAAATTCTAGATATGAAGTTTAGGTTTCCACTACTTGTTATTATTATTATCCCCTCGGAGCATTCGTCTCTTCTTGCTCATATCACACAATTTCCATATGAGTGCAATTGTGAACCATAAGATCAATCCACAAGGAAGAGCCTGAAGTCAAACATTCTCCTATCCCGATGATCATCAAGATATCTCACTTTGAACAGAATTCCCGTAATCCATAGATTTGCTCTGAACAGCGTACACCCATTGATGTCTGTTTCATCCAGTTTAACTGTATATAAGTTTTCAAACTGGAATTCATGATCATGAGAGAGCGGATAAGATTGTGTGACAAACCGCTGTTTCGTTACTTCCCAATACCTCATTCACGGATACTATTTTGTGCACCATTAATGTTGGAATCGAAATCATAGTGACTGACAATCCGGTAAACAGGAAAATCCGTCTGAAAACGGGAAGTTCAGATTTAACGAGAACAAACAGCACAAAGTTGCCTGCCAGAGGGCAATAGCCCCAAGTGTTTATGAAGCCAAAATAGACAGAGGAAGATTAAGCTTACCTTAAAGCCCCATGATTTATCCATTTAGCATCAAGTCTATCTAATGCTGTCCAACGTATATAGGCCATTACAACCGATAAGTATAAAGATCCCGTATGCAGAGCAATTGAAGATGTTACATGAACAATCAGAAAGACAAGCCATGGATATGAATATCTGAAAGAACATATCATTGGAACATGTTCAAAGCATGAAATTACCCGAAGGTGGTTGAATCATTATCAAAGAGACGAAAACGTAAAATATAAATTAGATAAGATGCCATAGTTAAGGCATCACAAACGGCCATGGCACACAGAAGAGCATTAATTATATATGCTCGCATTGGACGACGGCTGAAATACATATGGTTAGCTTAATTGATATAGTTAAGAACGATTTTCGATCGCATATATTTCTAAATTTATAAATAATTTCATACTATCAAGTAGACAGCTGTTAATTTTAAAGAAAATGATACGAATTACAAGAGCGCGAGAAAGTATGTACGGGGGCTGGTCTATGAATATGTGTATGTGCGTTACCTGAGAACAAAGAAGTGCAAACTATTTAAGAGGACTCCGGTCGAACATACTAATAGACAGAGATATCTGTGAACTCCAGTATAGAATCTGAAACAGAATGTACATTTTGATTGAAATTCATTTGTTTCCGCGCATTTCTGACACGCACACACACACAACCATTTCCAACCGTTCCACAACACAAAATGAATTTCACTTTCGCACGTGAAATTTGCGTCTTAACGCGAAATCAGCATATATGGTAATGGAATGAAGGCATTTCACGAAACTTACTCATTAAATCGCACAAGATTTTCGAAGAAATAGATGGTATTGTTATTTTCCATATCAAATAACGGAGGATCCACATCACATCTCATTTTGCTTTAATAGTTGGTGCTTAGCTGCACCAATGCAGCTTCTTGTACTTAGTCAGCACAAAGAGAAGCGCTGTAAATATTCCAAATAAGGCTTGATGGCTTGAAAATTAAAATTTTTTCGAGTATGGAAACGAACGAAAACTCGAATAAGAGAAGATAATTTATGACTGAAACATGGTAGCTGAAGGAAGCAAATGAGTTATGCCATATAATAGAAGAATACCAGAATAGATGAGAGAGGAAGAGGAAGAGAGCTAATGACTAGTACGTATGGTATTTTGATGTTTAAGAGAAGATATAATGAAGAGAGTGAATGAGAGAGAGAGAGAGTTAGTTAGTACTTCACAATGAAGAGAGAGAGAGATAGAGAGAGAGAAGACTCAAACTGGCAGAAACGAAAATACGTATAAAAGACCAGAACAGAAGTTGTGTGATAAGTTTAAAAAGACTTAGAAGGAAAGATTGTGTGTGGGGGTGGAGCGAGCAAGCAATGCAGACTTATCGTTCAGCACTTTCGTTGACTCAATGGGGTGAAAATAGAATTGGAGAGTTAGAAACAAAATATACTTGGTGTTATCAGTAAGATATGGGGAACAAGGAAGGAGCTGTGGGAATGAGAAGAGTTAGTACAAGCTAATCCCTATTTAAAAATATTGATTGAGCGGATGATCTTTTGACTTTTCAAATATTTATGGAGCCAAGCTTTATGTTGAAGCGTCAAGTTGTACTAAATGAGAAAACGAATTGACAATGAAGGACTCAAGGTCTAACTCATTCGCTAATTAATTTCCTATACCAGCTCATAAATAAAATAAACATCTGGTTGGGAAATAGTGAATTTTACGAAAAGAACATACGGGGCTGTTTGGTGGTTGAGTTTATATTTGGAATTTAGACGAACGGCTTTCAAATGCTCACAATGGCTAACTCCCTTCTATCTCTCCCTCTCTCATCTTCATCTTCTTCCATCCATTCACTATTGCTGATTTTTAATTTATTTTGTAAGCTTTTTAGTTATAAAATACATGAACCATAGAATAGCCATGGAGATTTAAGTGAGAAACAATGAAAAGCATATGCGTGGGTGATGGAAAAAAGAAGTCGCGGAAGCTTAATAGCTTTGGAGACCTTTAATTATGAAAGCGACACAAGAGGTGTATGAAGTCGACGTCGACATCTTACGAGATGCAAGGTGGGCTTCTCGTTTGCATATGAAGTAGTGCACGAGAAGAATAACGAAGGGGGAGGAGTGAACGATGGCTTCGAATGGGTAAGTTATTCAATTGATATGCTAATTAAATAGTCGAACATGAAAGTTAAAACAAAATATATGACGATGAGTGCAAGTAGAACGAGTGAACGGCACATCTCGCATCTCTTCGTCACCAAGTGTAAGCAAATGCTTTCTAGGTCAATGCAAATTTTCAAAATTTATGAGAGTGAGAAAGAACAAACAAAAATAACAAAAAAAAAAGAAGGCTAAACGAAATAAAGCTTGAAAGCTATGAGAATGGCCCTGAATCCCCGGAGGCTATTTTGTCAGTCATTGCCGCGACCGGACAGGATATATCAGATGAGCTTTTTGAGCTTCACGTGTGAGTACAATCACCATTTTTAAAAATGGAAACGAAGATTGAGCATAAAAATTCAAATTTATCGAAACTTGGTGGGGGGGGGGGAAGAGGGAGGCTACTCGATGGGCATTAGCCTATGTCATATAAGGCACAAGAAGCAATTCTGCAAGATTCAGCCTATTAGAATGAATTTGAAAAGTTAAGTAGAAAATGAGATAGATAGAAGGAAAAAAAACATGAAGAAGACTTGAGAGGGAGAGATAGAGAGAAAGAGGAAGAAAAAAGAAAGGAAGAGAGACTGAAGAGACACGACAAAGATTGTTCTCGTCAATGCCCAAAAAGCAAATGGGAGGTCAGGCATGGGAAAGCGTTAATTCGGAGCTTCATCACCATGTTTTTGTTAGAAGAAGGAAGAGAAGCAAGAGTACGAGACAAGAAATGAGTCTGTCTCTCTCTCTCCTTGTGTCTCTTTGAACAAATAAGGAATCAGAATGGAAGTTAATATTATTCGTAAACGACAAGACATCAGTCGCTCATCACATCACACAAGTTTTCTATTGAATTCAGGTTCACAGCTTTGTATATAGTATATAGTATATATATATTTCTTTTTACTAGTATGTTGGTTATAATTTCCTATTTTTGGGCAAAAGTTCAAAACAACAAAAAAATATTTTTCATGTTCAATAATTCTCAGACGACATGCCTGAGGGGTAAAAATGAAATTTGAGATGTCCGATGATGATGAATAAGTGAAGAAGAAGAAGAAGAAGGAGAAGGAGAAGAAGGAAAATGGAGGAGGAGAGTTTCGATAAAAACTAGCAAAAACTTTTTCCATAATCTGATGGCAAAAGCTTAAGAGTTCGAATAGCTTTTTTTCCATTTTTTTTTCTTTTTTTTTTTCTACAACAACCAACCGTTCATTATGTTTTTCACAAAGGCAATAAAAAGTGAGTTACGTGAGAACGACGTGAAGTCTTACATTCCGGTCTATGCTAATTAGCTAGACGCGGAGGAGGGGGAAGTAGGATTTTTTTAGGATGAAATTTGAGATATATAAAGCTTTAGTAGCCATATGCTTCATCAATTTCAATTTATAGAACTTTCAGAGGTTTTTTTAAGCCCGCCAAGTTTGCCAATGAAGATAGAGAGAGTAAGAGAGAGAGAGAGGGAGGGAGGGAAGAATGAAAATGAAATGAGGCGATAGAGGAAAGAGAGAGAGAGAGAGAGAGGTCGTAGTTGGTTAAGAATACTTAGTTGTTCATTTGGCACATCGTCTATCACCACAAGAATGAGAACACAGCTGTTCTTTAGTGTAGAAGTAACGCCAAAAAGATTCTTCAGAAGAGATATGATCCAACAAAAAAATGATTTCTAGACTCTCTTAGTTTCACATGATGCTCAGTCGAATATCAGGTGACGAGAATAACGAAAATTCAAAAACATTCATTTGACATCAAGAAAGTTAGATCAAATCCAAAGTTTGCCGATCGAATTTATTTTGCCACTAGCAATTATAAATATTAAAAAACACTTTGAACCACACAAGTTGATTGAATAAGAAGAGAATGAAAGGAGCATAGAGAGCAGGATAGCAGTTCAAGTGAAAGAAAGAGAGAGAGGGTGGGAGGAAAGAGGAAGCAAGAATCAGTCTGCAAAAGGGAAGAAGCATCTCTTAAGTTTAAAAATGAAATCAACAAGTTTGTATGATTTCCAAGAACATGATGATCCCTAAATAACTTTATCCAATCAAGAAGATCAAAAGCTATAAGCAGTAGCTGTGCGTGAATAAGTGAGTGTGTGTGTGTGTGTGAGTGTGCAGATGTGAGTTCCAACAAGCCTGGCTTGATCATTTATCAAATGTCTCTCAATGTTTTTGTTTCTTACAACTTGTTGTTAAAGCTTTTTAAGCTCAATTAACATCATCTGAAAGCTTGAATGAGTATATTAGGTTATATTGAAGGCCACAAAGTACGACAGAAATGTGTAAATTGAGAGAGGAAAAGCTCAAAACATGCTTTGTGTCAGCTCGAGTTGAAGCTTCCCCCCCCTTCTGCCTTATTTGTGTTTAAAGAAACTTCAGAAAGCGTTATCTTTAATAAATCACAAAAGACGAAATCTTTTGAAATTGACATAAAGCTCAAAGGACAGATTGCTTCATCTATTCAAAACTCGATCGGTCGGTTGTCGTATGACCTCAGAAGACAAAAATTAATTTATAACTTTATAGGATAGAAAGAGTGAGAGAGGAATCTGTGAAGCGAAAACTTTTTCAAAAATTTATAAAAGACATTGTCGGAGATGTCCTTTTAAGCCATCAATTACGTTAAAAGTTCTTCAGCTAACCACATGTAAGCTCGGGATTTGAAGCATTTCTGGGCCATAAGAAAGGTTCTGACAAGAGGAGAATTTCAATTTTTCTTTTGTTTTTCCCTTTTCCGGTCTCAAAGCCTTCCTTCTGGGGCTTGAATGCTCCACGAGTTTCATGTTAAAGCTTGAAAGTTGAAATACAATAGTTCAAAAAAGAAAATAAAACATAATTATGAGCGGAGGCTCAAAGCAAACCTTTCCGAGAAACTCGTATTAGTGGTTGAGAGGAGAGACGTTTTTTATTTGAAGGCAAGAGGAGGGGTAGTTACCCAGTACAGAGAGAGAGAGTGAGAGAGATGATGGCAGAAGTGTTGTTCTTGAGAGTATTTTTCAGAGAACAAAGGGAATGTAGAAAGGGAGTGCATTGAGAGCGAATAAACAAAATTCAAATAAATTGAGAAGCTTTTAAAGGGAATTACAAAAAGTTTTTTTTGTTTCAAATCAAATTTTCTTTCATTTCAACTTGAAATATTGGTCGCAAGGTGACAGTTGGAGACATATTGTGACCGTTGAAGTGAACTGACAACTACCACCCACCCTTCTAAGTCTCCTTCCTATACACTTCTCCTCCCTCTCTCTCTCTCTCTCTCTCTCTATCTTATTCTTTGTAATATATAAATATAGAAGAATCCCCCTCCCTCCCTCCTATTCTGCTGCAGACTGATGAAAAGTGCTGACCAGTACGTACTTTACTTTGAAACTCTTTTGCACACGACGAACAATGAACGACACGTTTTTTTTGTTTCAAAGGTCGAACATGGTTTGTGTCCTGAAAAGAAAAAATAATGTGCTTTGATGAGACAAAGATGAAGATGGGGAGAGAATGAAGCCAATTCTCTCGGTAAGCTGTGAAGTCGATCGGTAATTGAGGAACCAACAAATGAGGTGTATGAAATACATTCTCACATAAGATTTGAAAAACAGATTGTTGAGCATATGATGAGTACGTTGGAAGATGGTGTGTGAGCTTTCTTTCAGGCTGAATATTGCGGACGAAGGTCCGAAGATGGACGAGACACACTTTGTAAAGCGTCAAGTTTGATACAAATGAAAGTAAATTCCATATGGAAATACATAGAAAGATTATAATATCCCTAGAGGGATGACGGAGTAGTTCACGGTCAACATCCTTCTTAACACAAGCTGAAAGATGCATCATGTATGTATGTGTGTGAAGAGATTTCAGACAGCCAACGACTCAACGGGTTATATGCTTAAAAAAGGAAGAAAAAAGAGGATTTGTACATTTTGTGAGGGAAAAGAGAGGTAACAATAGAGATTATACTAATGCATATGTATGTTACGAGAGTACAGAGACCAAAAATGGAGTTATAAGGATTGAATGCTAGACCAACTGAATCAGAGATAAGACTTTAGAAAAGAAGGAACAAGAACAAGAACAAGCTCAACATACACATGTACAACACACAGTACATTTGCATAATGTTCACGTCAAACGTACGTGAAACACAAGTTGTTAATATTGATTTTCACTTTAGATAATGCTTAATGTAATAAAACGGAACGTAACACTCGCTCTTTATGTGAAGAAGTTCTTAATAAACTAATTTCCGAGTGGAAAACTGCTAGCAGGAGAGATGAGACTGGACAAGGACGAAGAAGATGAGAAGAAGAGCTTTGCTAATCCAACATCTGATAAACTTTCTCTTGCGTTCAAAATGTCGTTTAGAATCCAATTTTAAAATAAAATAAAAAAAAAACAAATTTTTGTTGAAAAAAAAAAAGAAAAAAGGAAGAAGGACGAAGGAGAGGAGATGTGATGCATCAGACATCTACAAACAACCAAACAGATATAACATCAGCTTCATCCTCATCTTGTGCTTTACCTATGGATGAGGAACAGAAAAAATGTCCCATAGAAGACATGAAGTCTTCAATTATCCAATGTATAAACAAGATTGATTATGACAACTCTTCCTTGTTTTTACATTCTTATGTCTTCCTCCAACAACCAAAGCAGCTGTCACTGATATGCGAATTAGTCATTTCCGTATATGGTAGAAAGTATGTGTTGAGGTTGAAATAATATAATTTTTAAAATAAAAAAAACATAAAAAGAACAAAGAGAGAGAGAGAGTGTGTGTGTGAAAGGGAGAGAAACGGATGCGTATGAGTGTCTGAGGATAGACGAGAAACAATCATGCAACCGTTCGTGACAAACACAAAACACAACAAATGAAGAGGAATGCCTGCGCCAGTTTCCACGTGTTCCGTGTGGTTGTGTGTATGTGTATGTGTGTGTGTTGGTTGTGGTGATGGTGTTGAGTGTCAGTTGACGGCTCAGAAAATTTGAAAATTAATAGAAAAATGGCATATTTTATTTGAAATTAGTTTTGTTTTTGTTTCTTTGCTTTTTTTGTTGGCTTTTTGGCAAATGAACGATCTATGTATGCAGCTGATAACCATCCGATGATTGGACATATCTGAAAGAGAGTGAAAATGAGAATAAGATGGCCGACAAGGAAATGATATGCAGATGATGCAATTTATGAAAAAAAATAGAGAAGAAGAAGAAGAAGGAGGAAAAGCATTTACCCAATATTGGAACATGAAAATCTGTTGCGATACTCCATGACATCCGAAGAATAGAGTTGATGAGACAATTGGATCTAATCCAGCATCACCCATATAGCTTATGGCTTAAACAATCATGGCTTTTGTTGAAACAATAATGTTGTTTGAAGCATACCAAAGGAGAAAATGGCTGAAATGAAGGCGGGAATTGCCCAAGCAGCTATGCGTGGAAAGACAGTCCTCATAACAAACGTTCCGCAGATTTCAAATGCTATCATGTATAGATGTGGTTGCTGAAGAGTAAGAGTTGATACTTCTATTGTCTACTATATCTAATTAATGAAGACTCACATGGTATGTTAAATGGCATGCTTGTAAGCTATTATTATAAAACATTTCATGACTGGGAGCATATGGAAGTGAATATCTCCATAACTCTGTTGTTATCCGCCATGACATAATGCCTCCAACTATTTGAGCCAAAACAAGTAAAGTCAATCGCGATCCTCTGGAAAATTCGGATGAATAATAATAATACAAAGGAATTTGAAGAGAGATGGAGAAAGAGAGAGAGAGAGGGATGATAGTGCAAGGGAGAGAGGGAAAGAATGAGGGGATCAACTCACTTCATCTCTCCGTAGAAGTATTGTTCGAGAGGTGCCATTGGATTTCCATAAGCACCACGTCCTAATGTTCCAAATAAGAATCCTAAGACAGTTGAAACGATGAAGAAAGCTCCAATGCCATAGTTGACAATGATAACTCCTAATTATGCTAACTATATATAAATATAATATGATGACGTCACTAACCATTCTCAAATACACAAGTACATATAGTTACTGTACCTATAAGTTCAATAAAGAAAACATGAATCGTTGATGATTTTGCAAATGCACGATCCACAGCCCGTCTGGAAAAACAATGTTTGAAAAGGACATTAAGCATGTGCATATAAGGTGTTACCTGGATAGTTCACTTGTTAGAAATATAACACAATAGTACAAAAATGCTGATATGAATGATTCATAGAGAGTTAAGACGGACATATCTTAAAGATCTGTTGGTTGTCATGGAAATTAAAGAAAGTAAGGTGACAATTGATTATAGCCATGATATGCATAGTGAGAGATGATGCAACAGAGAATGAAAGGCTGTTGATATTGATATTGATAAAGAGAGAGAGTTGGAGAGGGTGAGAGAAGAGGGAGAGAACAAGCAAGAAGGTATCTCAACAGAAACAGTTTAGAAAGATAATCGATAATCAAGCATTCAATGAAATCAATGGAAAATTCATTTTGCAAGAGAGAAAAAGAAAAAAAAAACCGCCCTGAATGAAAGTTTGAAAGAATAAAAAAGTTAAAAAAAACCTCTTTGGCTGTCGTTTCTCTCTGTGTGCTGCACTCTCTATTGCACTCGACTCTCTCTCTCTCTTTCTCTCTCTCTCTCTTTCATTCTCACTCTGTTCTTTACTTATTTGGGAAAAAGCAGGACAACGACCTGACACACATTTCCATTGACAAGTAAAAGGAAAAATTGATATGAAAAGAGAAAATATGATAAGCGAATTATATCAATTATATGATATAATTAATAAGCATGAAATGCATTATTGATCATTCAGAAGCATTACAACAAGTTCATTCAATTCAGCTTTTCCCTCAAGCTTCATCCAATTTCTTTCATTTCTTCTTTTTATTTTCAAAAAAGATGTACTTTCTCTTTTCTTTCACAATGTTTTGAGAAGAAAAAAAAGAGAAAGAGAGAGAGAGAGTATGAGAGAGAAAGAGAGAGAGAGAGATTCCTCTTTCTGCACAGCCGCATTTGCAATAATTTGAAATTAAAATGAACTTCAACAGCAGCCACGTGTTATCTCACGTCACATACGTGAAGTTGCCCTACGTTGTGTTGCATCCTCGTCCTCCTCCAACCCCCATTGATTAGATAATTCTTGCAAATATTATAAAAAAAAGAAAAAGTTGTGTTTGGAAGTCAGTCGGAACATCTTTCATCTATTTTGATTTTTCATCTTTCACCAAGACTACGACACAAGCAAGCATGAAGTGTAGAGCTAGTGTATAGCGACAGATAAAGGAAGAGCATCAAGAGAGGGAGGCAAGAAGGCAAGCTTATGCTATCAGCCATAAAAGGTCCAAATGGCAGGTGTCATCTGTTATTAAAAAACGGTCTTAAAACGAAAAGCAGGTGTTTGTTTCAATTTGAAGATTCTACACATGATAGGGACATGTTTATGTATTTTTATATTCCCTAATTAGATGATCTAATTTGATATTACTTATACGTATAGTTAACTCCCATACGACCCCCCCCCCTTCCCTCTTCCCTCTCTCTACACCCCTGACGACTATCTCGTTTGCTTTGTCAGCCTATTCTCCCTTTTCAATTCCTTTCAACACGTTTTCTTAACTTTCTCACATAAGATATACGATGCCAGCCGGCTTCTACTGTGTGAGCTTGGCCATCGAGTTTACAGCTTAATTAAACGTCATCGAGACAAAGATAGAAGGCTGCGTCCGTAATGCTTCTGATTGAGAGAGAGAGAGATATATAGAGAGACTAAGAGGGCTTTCATTTCTCTCATTCAGCTTTCATTCAGCTTCTGAATCAGCATATTCGTAAGATGAAGCCGACAATACAAGCTCTACCAGATGGTTTACATAAGGTGGCATTCTGCTACAGAATGTTTCATTTCATTAATTTCTTTTTTCCAATTTTTAATTTTTGGAAAAGGGAGGGGCTCATGCTACGTTCTTCTCTTTATGATTTTGATAAGGAGAATTTTCAGCAAAACGGGTCCCTTTTATCAATAACACAGCTACAATGCGGAATTGGAATTATCGTTCTTAACACAGAGAGAGAGAGAGAGAGGGAGAATGAAGAAGAGAGAGAGAAAGAGAAAGATGGAAAACAGAGAGACGTAACTTAAAAAACAGAAACCGACCAACGAGAACAAGGAAGTTCAGACGTTCCACTGTGATTCTCGCATAGAACGATGTAACGTGTGACATCATCTAGTACACACGATTATGATGACAAGTTTTGAGGATAGCAAGCTTACACAAGCTTAATGTGTAGATTGAAGAACGTCGAGAACGATGTTGATGATGCATTTTACAAAAATAAAATATTATTGTAAATGATTTGTTTTAATAGAATGTCATGATGTCAATCAGAACATGACTTGAATGTTGCTTGTGTTGTAAGCTTCTGAGGAGCAAAAGCTTACATTCAATCCCCTGTGACATGCTATTGTAAACGATTTTGAAGTTGAAAATGAAAGAAAAAAGAAAATTTATTTTTGTCATGATGTTTCTTATAATATATTTTATAAATTCTTATAAATCAAAAAATTGCTTTGAGAGATAGTTAATAGATCTGAAAGCATCTCTTCCACACCTAAAAAACATTTTTTGTACAAAGTAAGCTTAAAAGGGAACAAGCACAGAGAGAGAGAGAGAGAGAGAGAGAGAGAGAGAGAGAGGAGAGACAATGTATATTTTTGAAAGGGAGAGAAGAAGAAGAGTTTTGATGAAGAGAGAGAGAGAGAGAGAGAGAGTTATAACACATCATACATCCTTAGGACAATTGAAGAAGACTTAGTTAAGAGAGAGAGGGAGAGAATAATACTTTAACAGAGAGAGAGAGAGAAAGAGAGAGAGAGAGAGAGTGAGGGGTTTAAGAAATGAAAAAGTGGGACTAACGGACTGAGCTTTTAGCTCCGAAACATACCAGTATTATGCGATTATTCTAAGAAAAAATACAAAAATAGGCGAAAAACGGTATCTATTCTTCATCTCGTGAAGAAATTGACTGAGGAATCATGCCAATTCCAGAAGGTTCGGGGCCTCTTTGTGATTGCTTCTTCTGTTTCATACGTCGATTCTAGAAGAAGTAATAGCATGAATAGATGATGATGTTGATTGAAACTTACTTGAAACCATATTTTGACTTGTCGTTCTGTTAAATTAAGTGTTCGGGCTAAATCCCAACGCTTCTGCTTACTCACGTACGTATTATAAATGAATTCCTTTTCTAATTCTAATGTCTGGTATTTGGTATATGGCTTCCTCTTCTTACGAAGGTTTGTGTTATTCGTCCAATCAAGGTTATTATCTGAAATGATATTCTCATTAACAACTTATTCTCTTTCAACATCTCTCTCTCTCTTTATATTTGAGGTTGTCAAGGTGCTATATCTAAAGGAGACCCATTGGGTTAGTCACTTCTATACTCCGGAACTTTCAATTCTCCTCCTCTCTCTCTCTCTTTCTCTGTCCCTCCCATATACTCCCCTATCATCCTCTATATCCTTCCAACAAAATGTTTTTTTTTTCAAAAAAATGGAAAAAGATGTCCTTCCTTATAAGATATCTATCAGTATGTTCTTACAAATACGTTCACATAGTGTTATACCGTATCCCTAGGGAGGGATTGTTCCTCTCTGCACCTGTCTCTTCATATCTCATCTGATCTCATGCCTCCTTATTAGTTTTCTCTTCCTTCCTTCCTTTTTTTTTGTTGTATCTTTTATGTCCTTGCACGAGAATTCCGGAAGACGTCGTCTGCATACACACACAACACAACACAACCCGTAAATCGACATGTGGGTGGTCGTGACAGTACGTAAAGCCGGCGAGATGCGACCAATAAATTTGAAGAAACTTAATTTCTTGGTTCTTTCTTTTGTCTTTAGCAGACAATAAAAATTTTTATTGTTAAAGCCCTTTTTGACGCTCTCACACCTTTTGCGGAAGATGAAGCTGATGAGGCGGGCGCATACGTACGCAAGCCCGAACTGACTACCATTTTCAAATTGTTTTTTTTTCTCCCAATTTTCTTCATTTTGTAAATGAGCATGTCTGGTCATGTTCAATTACGAAATTGTTCCAATTAAAGGCTTTTCAATATTCACAACCCAGCTGCTACTGGCCATATAAGGTTTTGTGACTACCAGATGAGGAAAAATGCTTTCAATTTAACTGAAGGTACAGAAGAAACTGCACCCCAACCTCCACTCACATACACACACACATACATAGATACACACAAATCCCCCCGAGGGCATTAAAGTACTAGGAAGGTCAAGTAACTACCGTACCATATAAGATGATGAATTTAGTCAAATATTAGTCATGAACAGAAAAAAGGCAATTAAACTATATGAAAAATGAATCAGACATTTAACAACTCGGTATGTGTGTTCTCAAATAGAACAATCATATGTCTTCTTCTCCCTCTTAGTCTCTCTCTCTCTCTCTCTTTCTCTCTCTCTTAAGCTTTACCATTTTAAGAATTTGAAGATTAAGTGAATGATGCACAAAGACAAAGCCGAATTTCTCTTTTTTCTCCCTTTTTTTCCCCCAAAACGATAAGAGAAAATAGGAAAAAAAAAGATGAAAAAGGATAGAATTCATCAGTTTGCATCATGTGATTCAGACGAAACGCTTCTCGTTACGTCAAAATTCACGTGAATATGCACGTCAGATAGAAAAACAAATAGAATTGTCTCTTGTTAGTTCCATAGCCGCTCACACACACACACACGTGCATGTGCACGAGCAGTTTAATGAAATCATCAAGTAATACGTTTGATCTAGGCTGTCAAAGGGAGGAGGGGGGGGGGGAGGAATTTCAAATCGAAATTCGTAAAACTTTCACATAAAATGGTGTGTCCTCTCTCATTACAAACGAGCCGCAAGTGAGAATTGATTTTAGGAAGGCAATTTCATGTGATGAACATCTCACGTAATGATTTGCATAGATATTGGACACGTGGACGTGAAAAATATACGTGAAGCATGTAGCTATGTTCATTTTCATTTTTGACATAAAAATAGAACGGTTGTCTCTCCCTCCTGGTCTATTTGCTTGTTAAAGTACTTGGTCTTTCACAAGTTAAACGGATGAATTGATATGAGATGAAAGAAAAGCCGACAATTTCCTCTCTCTTCACTATCCTATCGCTTTAACCAAAAGTTCAATTCTTTGTTGTCTCTCATACTTTTGCATACACTCTCTGCAAAGTCTATCTTCTTTGAATAAGCAAACGGGATTACGGTAGGGTTACGGTAAAATTGAGATGTAAGTGTAAAACTATATTATAAAAATAATTTTCTTAAAAAAAATGCTTTAACATTATGAAAATGTTAACTTATATAGTATAGTTAGTTAACAGAATGATTCTGTCTTCATCGTTTTCATTCCATTTCCTACTAATATCATAAAATTTTAATAGACGTGAGGCAGCCGTAAAAGGTGCGTCCCCGTCTGGACATCTATCGATTTATAGAATCAAAGTGTTTCAACTTACTATCATCATCTACATCTCTTCCTCCCTCTCTCTCTATATCTAAATACATATATATATATATATAGAGAGAGAGGAATGGACAAAAAAACGTAAGCCAATCTCTCTCTCTTTTTTTTCCGCTTTGTTTTTGCCCCCACTCTCTCATACCGTAATCTTTCATAAGCTTTAATAAATCCTAACACGATCTATCTCGATATAAACAAGGCCAGATCATGAATTTTTCGAAAAAAAAAATTCTTTGTCTACGAATGTTTTTGACTTTTGCTTTCACGTATAAAGCTTACCTCCTGTTATTCCAACATCTAGCATATTGGGTTGAGTATATGGGCCATGGGGAAATGGATATGCTGGTGGTTGATAGGAATATGCTGGCCAAGGAATACTGGGAGTATAGAAATCTGGATTCATGGTCATCATATCAAATCCTTAAACAAATATCATTTCATGTATTGAGCGCTTATTTTCTCTGTTCCCTGTACCTGCTGGTGTCCCTGTTTGGAATTTGCCGCCGGCTTGAGATTGAGCTGCCACGAATAGTTGTTTTTGAGCGGCTGATTGAATTGAATCTTGATACCCCATATATGTAGACATTTGATTAGATCCACTACTAGCTGAACTTAAATGGGAGAACAGTATCGATTATCTTCAACTCTTGAGATGACTCACGAAGGTGTTACGATGGGAGGAGATGCCTGGGTAGCAGTTCGATCCGTCTGATTGTCTACTGACGATCTCATTGCTGGAGTCCCATTGGCGCCAGCGTCAGGAATAATAGTCGGTCCTCCAAGCGCCACAGATACAGCAGGGTTAGTAGTAGCTGGATTCCAGAAAGCAGCTGTGGTCGGAGTGTTGAAATTACGACATCCACCCGTATTGAAACCGCTGGAAAAAAAATGGTTGAGAAACTGCGAAATATGAGGAAAAGCTCGAACCCATTGTGATTTTGATTCTGACTGTTGTTCATCATTGTCATCACCGAAATCATAGCATCAGAAACGTCCGGTAACAATTTTTCTTGACTAGCTTAGGATTGAGTGAAAATAACTGAAAAGAGAAAAATGTATTGTTGATTGAGCAGATGATTAAGAGAGTAAGATTGAACGACAACGAGAGTAGATCAAAATGTTGAGAGAGAATTGGTATTCAGGTATTTGGAACAAGAAAGTATTTGATAGTTCGTTCAAACATTTGAGAACCTTATCAAGCTTTGCGAATTGAAAAAGACGGCGAAAAAGGCATTTGAACAAGAAGAGAAAGTATCAGAAAACATCAAAAGGCTTGCTGACTATAAGTTCTTCTGAAAGTTCTTCTATGGAAGTGAACGAAACAAGTGGAGCAAAGAAAAACAGAGAGAGAGAGAGAGAGATGGATAGACAGAGAGAGAAAGAGGGAGAGAGAGAGAAGCAAGGTCTTTGTTACAAATTACCTGCTGTTGCCGACGGCAGTCAGCAAAAAGGATACGGTAGCTTTTCTATTCATTAGTCCAGCTGCCTCATATGGTATATATTCCGTTTCTCTCTCTCTCTCTCTCTTTTTCTCCCAAACTTAATTCGCTCTCATACTCAGTAGGACCAAAAATATTTCATAAATATATTGATTAACAACAATTCCATGTTTGGTTATAAGATTTTTCCACAATTGATGACAGGGGCGAAAGAAAAATATTATTTTTATCTCTCCTACCACTTTGCGATCATTGAGAGGTGTGCAAGCTTCTACGTATTCTTGTCTCGCTCTATCTCTCTATTTTTAAATTTTTTGCTTCCCAAAGTAATTCTCGAATGATCTTCTCTCCTTCAACCCCTCTTCCTTCATACTCATTCTCTCTCTCTCTCTATTCCGAACTTGACCAAAATGTTTTCGTAAGTCAGTATTCGGTTTTTTCGATTTTCTTCTTTTTTTTTTTGAATCTGCATAGTAGCCGACTTGGAGTCACGGCACCCTTTTTATGACCAGAAAAAGGAGTCAGACATCACGACTTCATCGTCGTTGCGTTCGTCTGTCCTCGGTCTTCTACGTGGAATCGATCGATTGAAGCCATCAGAAGAAGGGGGAATAGTAAAATAGTTAGAGGGTAGGCAGATAAAGAGAAGAAAAAGTTGAAAATAGTCAAAATATAAAGAGAAGTGGAGAACAAGCCAATGTGGAGAAGAAAAGAAAAAAAGATGGAAGAGATGAGAGAATGCACGGATACTATGAGAGAGAGGAGGAGAGCAAAACTATAGAGAGAGAGAGAAAAAGAGACAGCAAGAGAAGCACAAAACGCTCTAGACGGAACAAACAACAGGTTCTACCGTAATCCAATCGCCATAGACTAAGTCTAAGCATTGGCCATATAGGGTGGAAGGGGGTTTGTATAATGTTAATCTGCTGATAGACAGAGGTAGACAATCCGGTACCTTATCCTCACACATAATTCAATCATTCAAACTCTTCTATCATGTGTTGTACTTTTGACTTGAGTAGTGTGTGATGGAGAGCGACTGATTTGCCTTCTCCATTCATTCCATTCCTAATGCTATCCCCCCAGTTAGTCAAGAATTATTACAAAAGTGGAATAAAGTATAAATTTCAGGAGATTTATGACAATTTCGTCAGAAAATGACAATGGGAAGGAAGGAAAAGCCTTTTGAAGACTTTTCCGCTCAAAATCAATGATTGAAGGAGAAGGTTTTTAATTTAAATTCTTGTCAACAATGGCTTCTGATGGAGGGAAGGAGGCAGAAGTTGATGGCAAGTTGGAAGATGCTCCGAACGAATACGATTGTGGCTAAAGGCATTTAGAAGTTTTTTTAGAAGACAATCAATTGAATCATCAGTAAAGAAGCATAAAAGTGTTTATGATGTACGCATGGTGTGGCCCTATGGCTATGAATGCACTGCGAGAACGGTATTCAGTGGTCAGCTATAGATGAAGGAATGAACGGAGGCCAATTCTAATAAGAAGAAATGTTTGAAAAAATAAAGCAGAGAAGTGAGATGAGAAAGATGGGTTGTAAAGAGCATTCAGTTGAGAAAAGGAACTGAACGATAAGAATGAAAAGCTTTTGTCTGGCATTGTGCAAGAGGAAGAGGGAAAAATACAAAAATGGGCGGAGGGTTTGGGGAGGAGGAAAGAATGAGCCCAAGAGAGGCAGGTGATGGAGCATCTGGCTCCATATAACGATCATTGGCATTCAGATAAAGAAAACGAAAGGCCAAATATGGTAAAACGACAGACAGAGAGAGAGAAAGATGAAGAGAGTAGAAAATGAAAAAAAAAATGATTGGAATAAGCTATTCGTAGGGGGCTCTTGGATGACACATAAAGATTCTACCGAAGATGAGAGTTCAAAGCAAATTTCGGTGCATAAAAGAGAAAAATGTGTTACTGATAATGATGGTATCAGCCGTGACAATATCATTTCGTACCATATAAGCTAAAGAGAGTAAAAGCTAACACTCCGGCTAGCTTTCATCATTAGTGAACGTCCTTCTGAAGAATATTTGGACTGATTGAACGAGTTGTTCACTCTCTGATATGGAAACTTCAAAGTTTATGAAAAGATTGGCGCCGTTACGTCTCTTGCTGTGTTTGCCTTTTTCAGCTTTTTTTCTTTTGTCATCAATAGAAGAGGACGTCAAGAATAAGCTGAAACTCTGTTGAAGGCAGCGATCACAATGAAGAATTCGATTGTGATAGAGATAGAAAGAGAGCGAGCGAAAGTTCTTGAAGAATATTTGAAGCTTCAACCTTCTGCAAGCTTTCGGTAGAAAACAACAACAGCAGAGCAGTGAGTGGGAGGGAGAGGGGGGGGATAGAAGAGGAACAAGCCTGCCTAATAAAGAAATGAAAATAGTTTGTGATGAGGGTTTGGGAAAAGTTAATTAATTAACGCCATCTTATCATTATTGTATTACACAGTAGGTAATAAAGGGATCTCAAGAAAGGCATCGAAAGAAGTCTTCTTAGGATGCTTTTCCAAGTCGTATGGAAGGAGAGGAGGATAGAGTGAGGGAGAGAGAGAGAAAGAGGTTGATGAAGTAGCTAAAAGATATTTTTTAATAAAATAAAGTAATAAATAAAGGTGTGATGATATAAAAGTATTTTTATGACAATAATTAGAAATGAAATGTAAATATACACGTTTTTATACGTGTCTTCACACATTTCTTTTCAATTTTCAGATGTGAAGATTGTAAAATGAAGAAGAAGAAGAGAATGACCAAATATGTCTTTTATAGTTTTTAAAAAAAGAGAAAAACGATATATGAATAGACAGACATAGAGAGAGAGAGAGAGAGAGTGATGTGATGGATACATAGAGAGAGAGAGAGAGGTGAATGCTCAACTACTTCATCAACTAACTCATCAACTAGAAGAAGAAGATGTTGATGAACATCAAATAGAAAATGTAAATTAAACAATATCTTTTATATAATTGTCTAATTCAACCTCTCTCTATAGACCACACAGCCTTGGAGGGCTTTCGTTAACCCGTCCGCCCCGTTCACCAGTCTCGGCTGACTCCGCCTACTAGATGACACGCCCACTACCGTATACACCGCCAATGAGGAAAGGCTGTCATGTCAGGCCAAATGGAGGAGAAAGCAAAAAAGGTGAATAAGCAAGAAGAAGGTGATGAATGAGTAATATGTAATGTAATAGAAAAGAATTCTGGAGCATGATTGGTCTTGAGACTTTCATGAAATGAGAGAAAAACAAAGAACACTATATAAGGAGGTTACGAAGAGAGAGAGAGAGAGAGATAGAAAACGAGTATCATACACATACTCATATATAGACATACAGAGAGGTAGAGAGAGAGAGAGAGGGAGAGAAAAAGAGTCAGAGAGAAATAAATTAAATAAATGAAAATATCCAAAAATCGTAAATAAATCTTATGGTTGTTGGGGGGTAGTGGAAGTGACAGAAGGAATTAGTCAGAGGAATTTTTAGTGACAATTAAAATAAATTTTCGATAAAAATAAGTTCAGTTTCATTTTTCTTTTGAAAATGAAGATGTTGACAGGTAGGTGCCATGGATATTCATAGGCGTGTGCCCCCCTTATATGGTCATTCTCTCTCTCTCCTGTATTAGGGTTCTATCTCTTTCATCGTTTCTCTCTCTCTGTTTATGTTTTTATTGGAAGAAATCCTTTTGCCGACAAATGAGATTTGATGAGTTGATAAAGATCGATGGCACACGAAGTTCTTTGTCGCCTCGCACAAACCACAAAACTACGAAATAGAGAAGCAGTATGAGATGAGAAGCTTGAAAGTTTCAACAAGATTCTTCGTGATGGCTAGTAGGGGCATCTGGAGGGGTCTGAAGGCAGCAGAGGGGGGGTGGGGTGAACGAGAATTTACAACAACGTTGCCACATGTCCTTAGGCTATATAAAGACAAACATAGCATATAGTATATAATTAAAAACATTGTAACACCTTATAAGAGAATGATGAATGAATGGAGAAGGAGAATGGAGGAAGGAAGGGTACGGGTGGGGATTGAGGATGGAGCTTATAAGAGAAAAGGTATGAATAGAGGGATTAGTTAACATCCTTTTATGGTAAACTCATCCTAGCACAAACTCATCTTAAGATCCAAGGTCTTCTTCAACTAATAAGAGGCATTGCCATATTAGAGGAGAATTAGAGATATGAAGAAGATATAAATTATATCTAAATCAGCCAAAAGACAACCATAAAACATGTGACCATATTAGGGTCAAATGATTGAGCAGCATAGAAACAAACACCTTAACTATATGGTATAGTTAGTTAGAGGAGTTTACTATATGTATATATCTAAGAAGACCATTACATCTCACTTTCCTTCTAATAAATCTCTAAATGGATCTTTCAGTTCAATGAGATAGTTCTTAATGTGACAAGTGTGAGAAGCATGGCTGAGGTGGTTATGAGGGAAGTTTTACACTTCCATTTGAAATAGTCAACGATTGATGGAGAGACAGAGTTGATGAGAGTACC